GTTTTCTTCAGTTAGGAAAGCAAAGGGAAGGAAATCAGACAATTCCTACTTCTAGGGTCCCAGGAAAGTATGGAAGGAATGAGAAGCAGCAGCTGCAAATATGTTTCATTGGGAAATCTGTCTGTCACTTCTCACGCCCAACAAGAAAGAAGGGCACAACAGGGATGAGGAGGGGACCACAGCTGTGAAGAATATGAGGGGAGGGGAAAGATCACAGAATTATAGAAGTGTTTGGGTTGGAAGGGACCTCTAAAGGTCATCTAGTCCAACCCCCCTGCCGTGGGCAGGGACCTCTTCAACTAGATCAGGTTGCTCAGAGCCCCGTCCAACCTGACCTGGAATGTTTCCAGGGATGGGGCATCCACCACCTCTCTGGGCAACCTGTGCCAGTGTTTCACCACCCTCAGCGTCAAAAATTGCTTCCTTATATCTAGTCTGAATCTACCCTCTTTTAGTTTAAAACCATTCCCCCTTGTCCTGTCAAAGGATGGTAGAGGGCATTACAAGGGGGGGAAGGATTTCCATGAAAACCAATGGCTTCGCTATGCAGCCAGAGAGAAAATAGCTCACCTAGGAGAGTGATGTCTTATTTAACAAAAAAAAAAAATTATGAAGGGGAGCAAACAGCAGGGCACAATTGATGCTTTGTGCCCCTCCTGAATGCTCCAGCATCACCTGATGTGACGCCTTTCCAGGTCTTGGTGGGCCACGTGGTGAGGAACGGACCCTGCCATCTCCATCTGGCGTTGTTTGGCCCTGCTGATGGAGTGGCTCTTGGTCCACATTTTTCCTACCATCTCAGCTTTATATCTATATTGCTCTTGAATTGCAGTTTGCTTCTCAGTCGGCATGTTAGCACATGCCAAAGAGAAGGAAAAGAAATTATCTTAGGAGCCAGTTTGGCTCAGGAATAAGAAGGTTTGTGATAGAAAGGAAACCCAAGGTTGTCGCCTGGTGCCTTAATTTCATAAGATAAGACTTCTGCTTTGTTCCTGGTTTGGCTTGTTTGCAGGGATGGTTCAGCTGTGCTTAGCTTGTCGTCTGGGGACTTGTCATGGTTTAACCCCTGTCAGCAACCAAGCACCGCACAGCCGCTCGCTCACCCTCCCCGCCCACCACCCCCCCCACGGG